GGGCAGGGACAGAATGCCACCACCCAGCACCCCGCGTTGCCACTGCTCTGCATCCAACCCCATGCCCCTTCCCTCTCCCCCACTCTGCGTCCACCTGGCCTGCTCCACTGGGGTGGAGCTACCACCCCGCGTCACCGCTGCCTCCCTGGAGCAGGGTGGGGGGAAGCTTGCCCCGCCATCCCTTCCATCTCCCTCCACTGGCTCCAAGGAGCAGGGGCAGGGGGTGGGGTTGAGGTCAGCACCGCTGGCCTACTCCCTTCTCCCCCTGCTCCATCCTCTCCATCATGGTGGTGCTCTGTCACCACCGCCTCCTGTCTGTCTCTGTGGAGCACTCTGATTGGTTGTTTACAGACAACCAATCAGAGTGCTCCAAGAGCATTATGGACAGACAGACAGATGGACTAAGCCCTTTATTATATTAGAATTGTATGTGTATGTATGCGTCCTTTGTGTTTCTCTTTCTTATTATTAAGCATTCCTCTTTCTCCTAAGTCTTTTTCTGCCATCGTTCCACCTTCCATTTCACTCTCTGTCAATCTCTTCCTAGTTTATCCTCCCTTTTTAATCTTAATGGTGCTCACTCTTTATATCACCTAACAATAGAGCCCAGAGAACCTGATCTCTCTTCTTTTCCTCCACAGCTATTGAGGACTAAGTCTAGAATTGATCTACAGAATTTCTCCACCTCTCAAGCAGAACTGGCCTGAAGAGTCTTTCCATCCATCTTTCACACCTGTTTCTGCTTTTCACACCTGTTCTCAGCTGAAAGTGCAAAGAATGTCACTTAGCTGTTGACTAAAAACAGTGAGTTGCTACTATGACCTGCTCTATCTGGGAGAAGCACAGTTGTGCGGGAACACAGCCAGCCCCACTTAGTCTCTAATTTCTGTACAGCATAAAATTTCTAGGGAAGGCTTATCCTCCCTGTGTCTCTTAGATCATGATGCTCAAGCCATGACAAAGGAAAGGGAGGGGCTTAAAATTAAAGGGAGGAAGGTACAGACAGTCTAACAATGCAGCTAAAACAGGGGTGCTCAACCTTTTGGTGCTGTGGGCTGGATGAGTGGCACAGGCCTGGATGCGCCGCATGTGCCAGGATTAGGTCCCATGCTGTCTCCACCCAGCCCACCACTGGATCTGGGCCCATGCCACCTCCCTGGGGCCCCTGTGTGTCTGGATTAGGCCCCAGGCCATATCTGCATGGTAAACTAGCATGCTACCTGGCTGGTGAAGCCCCTCATGGGTCTGTAAATTTGGCAGCAGGGGAGTTGCAGTTGTTGCTGCTGCTCCCCCAAATTTTCAGACTTGTGGGGACCCCTGAGGGCCAGATGGCATGGCTCTGTAGGCCAGATCCGGCTTCCAGGCCAGGGGCTGAGCACCCCGGCCTAAAAAAAAAAGGAAAGGCCTGAAGCCAGTGTGAACCAAGCCTCATGCGCATCTGCTGGCCTCCAACCACTGCACTCACCATGGTCATTTTATCTGTACACTTAGTCTTTGCTAATACCAGACTGAAAGGCTGTCTAACAACAACCCATTCCCAGCTTTGCACAGAGGATCAGCAACTGATGTTACTTGATTCCTTGCTTTATCACAGTTTTAAATACAGAGATGTTTTTCTTATTTTTGCCCTTTCTCTTCCAGAGATGCTGTCTGGATTCGCTGCACCTGCCACAAGGAGAATCTGTTAGTGATATTTTACCGTTCCAGCAGCAAAAAGGAAAGAGCACTTACGGTTTTACTCCAACTGAGACCTGTGGTATGATGCTCTTTAATGTAAGCTTGGAGCTCAGACCAAATGTTCAAGTATGACTTCACCCAATCAACATGACGTGAATCACTGTAAAGACAGGAAATAATTGTGTGTGTGAATGTTTGTGTTTGCCCACAGAGCCTTGTTCCCCAGTGCTTCAAGTACACTACGGATTGTGTCTGTCACTGGCCACATACAATTAAGTCAGAAGACTGCTCTCAAGCAAGCAGCACAGCAAACATTGAGGCCTGGCAGATTGACGAGTCCTAAAGTCCTTAATGAGGGAAAGATTAGAGCATAATAGGGCTCTAAGACAGACTTCCTGCAAACACATCATTTTTTCTGACCAGGCTCAAAGTCAATAAAGCCAAATGAAGCCCTGCACCAGATATCCACACTTGGCTATATTTTCTGCTGGCTCTTGACTTTAAATACAGCTGTCACTTCCTTACTGCCCTCAAACCAGTACACTCTCTGAAACCTGCCCCCCTCCCAGAACTTTTAATAGGGACCATGAAAACTCTTAAACAATACAATGTATATACACAACTTCTCATAATGGAGAACAGGTCAGGAAGCGAAAATTTCATAAATGCTTGGTGTAGACAGGCTAATCTCATGTTTAAAGTTTGTTAGACTCAAATAAGTGCAAACCAAGCTTTTTTAAAACAGGAGCCTAAACTTAGGCTCCTAAATCATTCATTTAGGGTGTATTTACATGTGCTTCAGGAGGGACAACACACTTTAATTAGAACAGCTTCAGGGTGAGGAGGGGTGCTTTAATTAGAATGTAATTAAAGTGCCCACAGTGTCACATGTATTCAGCATTCAAAATGGCAGTGGGGGCACTCTAACTAAAGCTTGTTTGATGAGCTTTAGTTAAAGCACCCTACCGCCATTTTAAAGCATGGAGACACCGAATACACAGGATGTGGAGGCTGCTGGAGCATGCTAATTACCACGCTCCAACAGACTTCATTAATTGCATTGGAGCAGACATCTGGCACATATATAGGTGCCCTTAGGCACTAAAGTAAGTGGCCCAACTTTCCAAAATTCCATGTGCTTGCCATTGGCTGTAATGGGACAGAAAATGGGACTAAGAAAATGCCTGGAAGTAACTGATTGTGGGCTCAAATCCTTCATGGTAAAAATCCAGTGAAAAGTAATGGCTGAGAGACCCTGACCCTCAAAGGTTTTTAGCTGGTTAATTCCCAGCAAAGGCAATAGCTAGGGACCTCTGAGGACTTGGGCCTAAAGGCCTGGTCCAAAGCCCACTGCAATGAGTGAAAAGCCTCCCATCAATCCAGTGGGAACTGCAAGCAGGTCAAATGTGCAAAGAAACATTTTAGCCTGACAAATTAAGCAAAAAGAAAAATAAAAGAGAGAAATGAAGAATTACCCAAACTAAGTACCTATGGGCTCCAGCAAGCATTCAGAATTACAATTTTAAAAGCTTTGCCAAAACTCATATCCATGCACTGATTTTGCCCAGGGGAAATGATTAGATGATCCATATGCTATTTGATCTCTGCTGAGCTTTGTGCAAGTATCACCTAGACCAGGGGTTTCCAAACAGAGGTACATATACCCATGGGGGTATGCAGGACATCTCTGGGGGGTAAGTGGGAAAAATTGTGTAATGGCAGATTTAATTTTCATTATAATAATCGTTGGCATTAAGGAGTTGAAATATGAAAGGTATGCTGGTAGGGCTATGCAGGCAGCTGGTAAATCTGTAAGGGGGTATACAATAAGAAAAAGTTTGGGAACCTCTGACCTAGACAGATACCAAGGCTCACATCTGAAAGAACTGGGTTTACATGAGCCTAATTTACCCTGTCAGATGATGGCCAAGAAAAAAGCCTGATCTGCCCATAATGATATGATGGATGATACTAGAATGATAATGCAGTACTAAGGGCCAAAACCTGACCCCTTTGCAAAGGTGAAATCAATGGTATTTGGGCAAAGGTTCTCTGTAGGGGTGCTCAGGGAAGGTGCCAGCCTCTCTCTTGCAGCCTACTAAATGCATATGAATCTGCTCCATGGCTGTTACTGCAGCTAGGCTTTGGCTGCAGAGCCAGGTGCAGGAACTAGGTGGTAGAGACAAAAGGTAAATTTTCAATTAGAAAATGTCAAGACAGTTAGGGAATTCAGTCCTTCCAGGATACAAGTCAGAGTAATGCTGTAGCTGGCAGTGTGTGTGTGTGTGTGTGTGTGCACATGCATACATGCACACTTGCGTACACTTGGCCCAAATGCCAGCACAAAGTTGTAGAAGTCTAAGACCAGCACTGTGAGTGCTAATTTACAGTGTGTGAGTGCTAATTTACAGTGCAATACACCATGGTACCTAAAGGCAATAGGGAGGGAATGGGATACTGAAATTAGAGCCATGTTAATCAAATTAGTAATAGTCAAATTGCACTAAGTGCTTTTCAATTTCCAGAACATTTTTTGTGGTGGGTCTTCTCTACTCTCTCGCAATACGGCTAGTTCTAAGCTGTCCTCAAAACAGTGAGGACATTCACATTCGGCAACATACCTGTTTTTGTAGTCCTTTAACACCCTGTTAGTATAAAAGGTAGCAGCATCGTTCATCTCCTTGACATAAGGGCCTGGTTTAGGAGACTAAGAGAGCAGGACCATCACCCAAGGATAGCAGGAAAAAATGAAAGAAGAGAAGACGTAAAACATTAGTCACAAACCTCCACCAGTTGACTGTAGAGATAAAGAGATAGGAAGGCAGAGTTACACGATATTGCCAGTATTATTTGTTTTGGAGGTATTAGGGTATTAAGATGTGTGTTTAAAGATGCTCAACTTTACTGTGAGTAACTCACCGCTGCTATCCAGCCAAGGGCCGGTATGCTTTCACTGACAGCGGAGAGGTGATTGAACATTTTGCTTCCTCGGTTACTCTCTCTGAAGTTCTGGATTTCCTGAATCTTGTCTGATATTGGTTTGAGAAGCATTGCCACCTCATTCTGCAGCAAAACAGAGAACTACTGTTACTTTGGGAAACCACAGCTACTGCTGTAACCTTGACAAACACTCAGGATTCTGTCTGCAGTGCCATCAATTTGAGGGGAGGAGGTTAAGGTATTCTTTAAATGCAAAGCATACAACACACCTTCATCTCATCAGAACAGCACAGACTAACGTGCACTGCCACATAGATCCCTGTCAACGTCAACATGTGCTTCTTGAGACCCTGAACATGAAGTGATCATATATCTTGGTGTTACTGGGACTGGTATGGTTTTTCATAGGATACCCCAGAAACTTCTTCAGAATGCAAAATGACCTGGTTTATCCATCAAAATTATTTAGCGTCTTTTTTGAAAGAAATAAAAGTTATTTTTGGAGACCAGCTTGGGAGCCCTGCAGGTAGGGTGTGCTTGGCCAGGAGGATGGGATTGGGGCTGAGGGTGGACGGGTAGCAGTGTTCAGGAGCGGGATGGCTGGGTGGGACCAGGGCTGAGATCAAGGGGGCAGTGACACCTCAAAACCACGCTGAGAGCAGATTGTGGCTCTGCCTCAGGCTCGGACTCCAACCCCGGCCCACACTGTCATCACTTTGCAATCCTGGCCCTGGCCCCACCTACTCATCCTGCTCCTGGACACTGCTCCCCGCCTGCCCACAGGCCCATACCATCTGTCTGGCCAAGTGCACCCTGCCCACGGGGGTCCCAGGCTAATCTCCATACAGACCCCACCTGCCTGCTCCATCCAGTGCCTCCAGATCAGTCTAGTAATCCACCACTTAGGGAGTTTTGGTGAGCTGTTGTGGGTGGGGTGGGGAGTGCTGACCTGGCCCTCAACAGCTCACTGAAACACCCCAAGTGGCCCTCCAGAAAAATAACTACTCACCCCTGGATTAAACCAACTGAAAGATACTGATGGACAAACAATAATACATCTGCTTAAATGGGGCAGGAGAATGCTAGTCAATTCTGCCAGGAATCCTGGCATGTTTGACTCTACAGTAGAAGGAATATGGATCTGTTTGTGCTGAGGATCCTAAAGAATGATCTCTTTATTGCAATGGATATTAAAACAGCTGGTAGTTATTAAAGTGAATGTCTATACTGTATCTGCAACAAAAAACAGTTCAAAGAGATGAATCAGAACAGTCTGGTTGGAAAAGTCTTCAACATGCCTTTGGCATGCGCTACATAAAGTTTCTTGTCATTTAACACAAGGCACAGTTGTTTAAAAGTAATCTAAGAATCTTTGTATAAATACTTGATGCGGTCCTATTAAACTATCTTTTTTCTGGAATTATTAAAATGAATCAGTTAAACAACTTCAAAATACTAAATTTAATTCTGGTCTCTACACTTTAACCTTACTTTTATAATTATTAATGCCAAACAGGACTCTTTCTACAGATACTAATAAATAGCCCCTAAATGCTTTGCTATATTGGCTTCTGCTTTAGTCTACATTGCAAGGTTAAATGGGAGCAATAACGCTTTTGAATTGGCTAGCCAAAAACTTTCCAAAAAAGTCATAACATACAAAAGAGTTTGGATGCTGGCTTCAGGGAACTGTTTAACCCTTGACACCCAGTCATACAAAATTACACTGTGCATCCATGAGCACTGTTATCTCCTTACCCCTCCTCATTCGTCTGCAAACATTTAACTTTACCCAAAGGAAAGATCCAGAGCTGCACTGGTTTAGAGGAGCAGGGCCTGAGAATGGGAGTTCAGGTGAAATCCTGAGGCAGTGTCATCAATCTGTGCAATTTTATTCACATTCCCCATATTTGGTAGTAATCTTAAAGCTCTACCATCTGGAGCTGGGTAATCAGTTGTGCTGAAAAGTCGGAAAACATGGATACTAAAAGCTCAATCCAGAAGACAAATAAAAAGAACCCAACATGCATTTCTTTCTAAACTGCATGGTTTTTATGCTGAGTTCATAGTGCTTGTGGGGCTTAACAATTGGCATTTTATGCATGGAGTTGGCAATGCTGAGTTCACTCAGTTCCACAGTGTCTCCACAAATCATAGCTCCGCTATCTTTTTTTCATGCAATTACATAAAGTCCATCATGCTTATACTATATTTTTACCTGCAACTGTGGAGTTGATTTCACACATTAGGGAAATTGCTATCTTTGCAAGTAGTAACTGGGATCTTCCCCATCACAGATTCTAAAATATAGTTTCCCACACCTCCATCAAGGAGTAAAGTGTAAGTGAATTAATGCAGTCAATGGGGATCATGGGAAGTCACAAACAACTTCCTTGTGACAGACCCCACTTGTCATCCCGCTGGCTTTGAACTATCGTGGTGAGACTGGTCCCTGCTAAACAGGTTTAGGACAGGCCAAGGCCCCTGCGCAGCCAACCTTCACCACTGGGGCCTCAATGCTAACCCATCCTGCACTTATGGAAAGATACAAACAACGCTGCACATCACTGAGGAGTGTCCCCTCTACAAACGAAGAGGTGGATTAATAACTTTGAACTCAGCTAATTAAGAGGTTATCGCTTGCCTTCACAGATTTGCAGTTGCTAAATAAATAAATGCAATCAATGCATGTGTAGGAATAAAATAGGATATCTATTGTGATCATCAGTGAGATGAAAAGTGTTATGGATACGTAAGATCATCCCAGAGTTTCTGGCAACAGGGGCAGAGGTAAGATAGTTTGGGTCCATCGACTGTGATTTTCTCCATACTTTCCAACGCCTGAATTCCTTTTACGGGCAAAATGCAAAAGGGATTTTTTAAATAAAATTTATTTATTTGGTTGGTTTGGATTGTTTTGTCTTTTGTATACTTTGGTAATCTCAACAGGGTAAGCAGTGTGATAGAATAATTATTCTACTTAATCTTATTAATAATCTGATTTGCAGGAGTGCTCACATCAAGCTGAGAAATTACTTTCAGAAATGAATCAAAATAAAACCAAAGCAAATAACTAAACTCACTTAAACCTCCAAGAAACTGCAGCCAAGGGAGGGGGAGGGATCTCTGTCTCCAGTAGAGTTACAATTTTCTTTTTTTTTTTCCTAGCAAAATATTTCCAGCTTTCAAAAGCAGTTGCCAAACGGATCTTTTTGGACAGCTCCTCTCCATGAGGTGAAATTCCCCCCATTCTTGCACAAAAGGGCCTTGTGTGCCATTTAAGGTTTTAGTCTGAAGGGGATGGAACTGAATCTCCTCTGCATCCGCTACTGCAGCCTCTGGGGCCAAAACCGCATCTGTTGCCCTCGTGCACCAGGAAGGAAGTAGGTTGGGATACTGAGTACGTGTAGATGCAGTTCCAGGAGAACCTCCATCCTGACCCAACAGTCCTCCAAACAAAAGCTTATTCAAATACAACTGCATTTAGGGCTTTTTTGCTGAATTTAATGGTATAGTCCCCACTGACCTTAATAGCGCAGTATCTGGACCTTACCATTCTGAGACAAATCTCAGGAAAAACTGCAGGTCTTACCAAGTCAGTGGCCTATTGCTAGCTGCATGTTATTCAGCAATGACTTAAACAACATTTAACATATATTTCCCTTAAAAACCATACAAAGCCCCAAATTCATAGGGAACGCTAGTGACTGATGCAATTGCTCTGCTTTAAACACTGACAAGTTGGCCATTTTAATTTTAGGCATTACAATTTAGGAGACAAATTGGAGAGGAACAGGATAAATGTGGATGGTATAAACAGAGAACCAGGCTGAACAGATTTATCCTGTAGGCTGGAGTCAGTCTGACTATTTTTATAATTAGAATTGAATGTTACAGCACAGTGCATCCCCCCTGCTATAATTTAGCTAGGCAAATCTACAGTACATCCAACAAAGGGGCAGACAGGCCAGGAAGGGCTAACTAGCTGCTCTCGTGCCCTGGACAAAACAGGAAATATTCCATACCCAAGAGTCAAGAGTTCCCCAAATGAAGCTTTTGATTTGCTTCAAACCAGTTGCTGCTATAGGTTATCACAGGTTCTGTTTCTGTGGTAGATGGCAATGCATATAACAGAATTTCAGTAGTGTAACTGAAGGGAGTAATCAGGACAGCAGCCCTGGGCACCATTTTGGTGGGGGAGAAGGGAGGCACAAAAATAACCAACACGGCCACAGAGTGCAGAGCTGTCCCGTTATGCCTCCGCAGAATTTTGCCAGCCAGCTTGACATGTCCAGAATGCTTTGTTGAAAACATCTTGAGTTTGCTATTCCTCAGCTGAATCCATGGCAGGGCTCAGCGATGTTGGAAGTTGTGAGTCCCCGGCCCCAGGGCTGCTCGATGAAATGAGCGTTTGTAGAAAGTTTCAGTCTGTTTGGGTTGTTGCTGTTTCAATCCAATTCAGGCTGGAATCAAAATTTCATGAAAAAACCTCCCCATTTCTCAAAAACCAGAAACCCTGCTTTTCAGCCAGCTCTCCCTACAACATCAAGACACTGGGAGAGTTAAGTATGGCTTGAGGTGTTTGCTCATGTGTGCGTTTGTGCCTGCATGTGTGTGCAAATACAACTACCAAGGAAGCATGGGTGGATCTAGGAGAGGAGGATGGGGGCTGCAGCTACTCCTCCTTTGCCCATGTGATGCCAATGCAATGAATACACTGAGCCCTCAGCTGGTCAGTGTGGGCTTCTGCCTGAGCTCTGCCCATGTAGGGAGGCAGCTGATCAGTGCAGGCTCTTTCCAGAGCCATTACTTTCATTTGCTGAATGCACTTCACAGAGCCATTCCTCTTCCCCATGCCACATTTGGGGTAGGGGAATGGGGGAAATGATCGTGGCACCCACCCTAAGGCTCTGGAGCCATGCAAAGCAAGGCAAGAGCCCATGCAGACCAGCTGATGAGCTCATCTGCATGTGATCATAGAAGGGGAGTACAACCACACCGCCACATCCCCACCCTACTGTAGCACTCAAGAATATGAGCCAATTTAATTTTGGGGCAGTATAAAACCCCACAAAGAACATGGGTTCTAGTAGACAGGGGAATCTTACCATTGCATCAGAATG